TGCTCTCGATGCATATTATAAAAGCATGAACTTCATCGATTTGAATTTCCAGAAGATTAGAATCAAAAATCAAGGTCTAGAGAGGGATGATATAGCATGGATTCCAAATGCAAAGGATAGACTTTCACATACCCATGAACATCTGGTCATCAGAAAGGGGGTCAATAATTTCTGAACTGGGGGCCAGAGCTGTGGTGCAGGTTAATCCTCTGGTTTGAGTCTGATCCAGCTCTCTGCTGTGGCCTGGGAAAACAGTAGAAGATGGCCCAAGTCCTTGGGCCCCTGCACCCACATGGGAGACCCGGAAGACGCTCCTGGCTCCTGGCTTCGGATCTGCGCAGCTCCTGCCATTACAGTCATCTGGGGAGTGAACTAGCACATGGAAGACTTTTCCGTCTCTCCCTCTCACTATCTGTAACTCTAGCTCTCAAATAAATACATAAAATCTTTAAAAAAAATTTCTGAATCATACAACATAAAAAACCAGCACTAAAACAACCTTAGAATGTATCTGCCCAATGCTATTCTTTTTCAGATGAGGTGCAAAAAGAGAGACTTCTTCAAAGTCACAAGCCATTATAGATAGAGTCAAGTCTCCTAACTCAACAGTCAATACACTTTTCCCTCAATAACATGAGTTCTGCAGAGTAGCAGCTTCAAATCTTACTCATCTTACTGTATGTTTACAATCACTCTGTGCTGTTTACTTCTGAAGCCTGAGGTTAGGAACACAGTGAATATGGAGCAGGTATGTAGGGCTCATGTGTGGAAGAGGCTGAAAGTAATCCTCATTTCACTGGCAATCGCAACAGCCCCGATAAAAACAACACTGTGTTAGGAACACCTAGTTTGCCAAAGCTGATCAAACAGAAACCAGCGATTTCAGTGCATCTTACTTTTGAGACTGATGCGCAGTTTAGGCATCCGTCCATCTTACTCACTGAACCATTATTTACTTGACAGCTGTTTTGTGGTAAGCGAGGAAACAGACATAGCACATACAATAGTCAGCAAGCAAGACAGTTCAAGTTCTTGGTCTCACAGAACATCCAATCAAGTAGCTAAAGCAAAATATACACTGATAAGTACATGACCAAAATAATTTTAAGTATGCTAGAGGAGCTACTGAAGAAGTCAAACTGTGGGACCACAAAGGGAAAGGTTTCGCTCATGGCACCGTGGCCTCTTTGAACAGGTGTCGTGAACTTGACCTGCATGATGAGGGAAAGGAGGATTAGCATTCCAGACAAAGGTTTGTGTGGGAACACGATGGGGTGTGGAGCATCAAGAAGCAAAGACACAGACTAGATAAAGGAAATTCAAACACTTTTTCTAGGGTACAGCGCTGTGGAGCAGAGGGTTACCCCACTATTTGCAGTGCTGACATTCCATACAGAATGCCAGTTAAAGTCCTGGCTTTTCCGCTTCCCATCCAGCTTCCTGCTAATGGGCCAGGGAAGGCAGGGGTCGACCGCCAAAAGGACTCGGGCCCCTGCTACCTATGTGGGAGACCTGGATAAAGTTCCTGGTTCCTGGTTTCAGCCTGGCCCAGTCCTGGCCATTGTGGACATTTGAGGAATGAACCAGAGGATGGAAAACTCTTTCTCTCACTGTCACTTCGTGTTAAATAAATAAATCTTTTCTTTTAAAGAAAAGACTTTTTTCTATAAGTAATAAAAAGATGAACTATCTTTTAGGAAATAATTCTATTTTATTACATAAAAGTATGCATAAAAAGCTATAGGGATGAGAAATCACACGTAATTTATTATTCAAAATGCACACAGAAAATAAGCTCTGGTGTTTTAAATATGATTTTTCTTCCAAGAAAAAAAAAAACAGTCAAACCGCTTGACCACCTGGAATTCAGAACTGCATTCTGTTTAATGGGTCTCTGAAAACATTACTGCCTAGTTTAATCTGTGCAGCAGATAAAATCTGCAAAGTGCTCAGGATGAGCTCATTCATTAACTTTTGAACTGGTTAACTGACTAAATGTTCTCTAAATTATCTGATGCATTTTTGTATTAATGTATAGTCTATTTATATGGCATGGACGTCCTATCTGCTATATATAGAAAATAACATAAATGAGTGTATAGCGAACAGTAATTTTATAGAAGACAAAGTAAGGCAAAACACCTGGATATATGAATACAAACATACCGAACACCTGAGCTTCACGGATGTATTTTCAGCATCTGAATTCCAGCTTTGCAAACAGCTTCCTGTGTGACCAAGCCCAGGCTAGTTTCGATTCCTCCCTGAACCTGAGGTCTCTCTCAAAAATATAAGTAAATATACTTGAAGCAGGAATTTCTGTCCAGCATATAGAATAAATTCAACAAATTCCCAAGTTTTTCCTACTACAATGTATCTTTCTAATAAAAATTGTTGCATCTACAATAAGGGAAAAATCATAGACTATATTTGTCTCTTTTAATAAAAATTTCATGGTATTGCCCAAATAAGAGAAAAAAAGGCAAGACAAGAAACTGGTTAGAAAGCTTTTTATACCTCTTAGTATGAACTAAGGCCTTGTGTTTCTAATTGCTCTACTGACTGGAACCATCCCATCTTGACTAGTTAGCTTCCCTGTGATTTCCAGTGTGTTTCCCTCATCTCAGACAGGCACACGTGCCCAAACACAGTAAATCACAGCTAACTGCATGTCTTAAATTAAAAGACAAAAATAACGCACAATTAATTGGGGCAAATTGTCAGTTAGTGAATAAGTCTCGCTCATTACACTTCGTGCACAGGATGTGTGCCAAGTGCACGTTCCAAGCTAGACCATGCAGTCCACAACACTGAGACACAGGCATAACCCTGTGCAGAACAGTCTGATCTGAGGAATCAAAAGCTCTGAAGTGTTCGACACTATAATCACACTGTATGCAGTTTTCATCTCAGAGATGCTACATTCAGACCTGTGCATAATAAAAAACAATTAGAAAGACCTGCAAGCTCGCTGACATGACATTGAACAGAGATGAGGTTTTGGCTATTACTGGGAAAACAGAAGCTGTTAAAAAGATTTTATATATATAATGGACATATAATTATATATTAATTTATATATAATACATATAATACAAATCAAGTATTCATGATACATTCTTCTATGAAAAATGCTTATAAAATAATATACTTTTTGTAAGGACATGTAATAAGTTCAAGAAGCAAGAAATGAGAGAATGTAGGAGGACTGGAAAGACACTGGGAAAATCTAGAATGATGATGTTAGCATTTGTTGTCTCTTAGTAATTTATAATACCTAAGAATCACTGAAATGTTAAAAAGTTGTATCTTAATGTTTCTAGATCTGATATAATAAAATGTCAGTTCTGAAGACCCAACAGAACCTTTTAAGATGAGCTCACCTATTAGAATAAAAACATCATAAAATTAAAAAAAAAAACTCAGCAGTCACATATTCACAACTGTATTGTATCTCTGGTTATATAAACAAAATCATATTTTAAAAAATGTATCTTATAAACATACAAAAGGAGCCATGTCCAGTATAATCATGCATTATAAGTATTTTCATATTATATTAACATACCATAAAGATCACTGTAAATCCTTTTTAATTTACTGATACTGATAAACTTCAGAACATGTCCACAATAAAGCCAATAAACTTGAATTAGAGGACCTGCAAACTTGTCTCCTTCACCTACACCACTCTCCCATTATTTCCTACCCTATAATACAGAGACTTTCTACCAGCCACCTAATAGAATTCTAACACCAAATCTGGCAACAAACAACAACAAAACACATACACACACAGGCACATACACACATACACACACTTTCATCATTTTTTCCAAAGTACATAAGGACAAAAGAAATATTTTGCAATAAATCACTTCTCATACTAACTTTTGTTATAGTTCAGTTTTAGAAGAATATACAAAACCTAACAGTAGATTCATTACAAAGGAAATCAACAGTCTACTACCTTGAAATAAGAAATATCATTTTCTGCCCTCTTATATTTACTGAACATGTTGGGGTGGGTAGGAAAAGATAGTCATATTTTAGCAAGAGCCCACATCACAACCCCAGGCATCTGTAAGTCCCCAGGGTAATAGTTTCATTCCATCCTTAATGGAACAAATTTCCAATCAGAATTTGTATTCCAAACTAACCAAGGCAATGCAACGTTAACACCTCACACTGCTGTCAGGCGTGCCCTGGTGCTCTGTGAGGTGACAGAGCTTGGGCAATCCAGAAACATCAGTCTTGACAAAGAAGGCGGGGCTAGCAGTGAGGGCGTGGCAGCGTGGCTCCCCTTCAGAGGCTCAAAGACAGCATCTGGAAGAAGGCTTCTGGTTGGAAGACAGCAATCTCAAAATTTCTAAAAAGGAATGCCTCCAATGGGTCCAGGAGTAAATGCCGCTTTTTTACCACACTATTGAGCATACTTGAGTAAACAACAGTCCTTTCTTGAAGCGTTGGCACTGCCCCCAGACTTGTAAGATATTACGGGCTTAGGGCGACTGACGCCCTCATACACAGTGATGCTCTGAAATGGCCAGGGGTTTACACTCCTTTTCTTCAAGTTGGGTAGAATACTGATAACTCTCGAAGGTGATAAGGGGTAAATTCAGGCTCATTATACCATCCTGCTTTTCAGTAGGTGACATTTTAATAATAAAAATTTTAAAAAACTACAAAGATTTCCTTGAGTTTTTTTTAATGCTCAAAATTTTACTGACTTTTACTTAGGAAATACATATTAATGAGATCTGGTTTATGCTTATGAGTAGTTAAGTCTCTCTAGCACTCAGTATAAATGTTCTAAAAATCCATCAAGCATTATGTTTTATATTAGCACAAATAAATAAAAAAAAAAATCTTTCCTTCCAGAAGAATTGTACCATGATCTACAATGACAGAAGAAGCACACCTAAACAAATGCAGGGCCACCATCTGCCTGGCATTCTCACAGTGTGACAAAATAGACTGGTAATTAACTGCTTTCCTACCGAAATCTGCCAGCTTTAACTCCCCCGTGTCACTGATCAGAAGGTTCTGTGGTTTCAGGTCTCTGTGCAAAATATAACGCTGGTGGATGTAAGACAGCCCTCGCAGCAACTGAAATAAAAATAACTGGAAAAAGAAACAAAACAAAACAGGAAGACAAAAGTTAAAAATCTGAACACAGATAAATGCCACTTTCTACATTCAGTCTGCCAATCACTTGCATTTGGTGGGAATGAGTATCCATCACTAGATTTCCTATCAAATTATTTAAACACAATGTGCAGTATTAGCCTGTAGATCCCTCATTCATTAAGCGGCAATCTGAGCATTTCAAACAACCCATTCTATCAAGCCTGACTGACACCTCTTCAGCAGAGAGATCAATGCCTCAATCTACATTCCATAAATTAAGCAAAATGTAGGATTCAATTTTTTATAATATTTTAATGTCTACAGGCATAAAATTATGTTTGAGAGAAAAACTATCATAGCATTATAGAGATTAAAAACACAGAATTATTTACCAAATTTATGTAACTGTGCACAGATTTAATTCCATAGAAATGACATAAAGATGGTAACCTTGAGTTCACCCATTGACATGCTTTAAGAATGGAAAGATAAGATAATTTGAAATAATTAAAACAAAAACAGTCACATGATCCAATTAATAGTACATTGTAATAGATGGCTTTTTGCACATATGGCCACAGAGAATGAGCTGTTGCCTCAAGACAGACAGAACCTTCACTAATTACAGAGCCGACCCAACCTCAAGGGAAAGGACACAGAGCAAAAGGGAGAAATCAAGAACTCGAGAGCAATACTTTTATAAGGAATTTGAAAAAGTGACTAATGGCCTCTCTGTGAACTTTCATATTACAGTGTATCAAATGCTCCTAGTCCAATAACAAAAAGTGTGATTCACTACACTTCTCAATATTCCGCTTAGGAAAAAAGAATATTTTAAGCAATTTGCTTGCCAAAAGACATTTTTTTTTGAATGTTGATCTTGTAGAACAACAATAAAAACAAATGTTACGTTTTAGTGGCACCAAGTTTCTAGCCTTTATAATCAGCCAGTAACAAAAGGCAGTTTCAGGGAAATTTTAAACGAAATGCAAAATATTGATGGGAGGAAGGGTTCCAGAATATTCAAATGGAACTCTGGCAAGTCCTTGAAGGTTCCAAAAGCTTGCATTTCTGAAGTGTTCCAACCAACGATGGGTCATGAAAGCCAACTCAAGTGATTTTTATAGGGGGCATACCTTGAAATTAAAACAAATTCATCTCAAAATTTCTGTATGTGATAATATGCATAGGGCAGTGAAGGCCTAGGATCATTATTCTCAAAGTATAAATGCAGAAAATAAATGTCCATTCTGTGTTAGCCTAGATTAAATTACTGGTTTAAGAACCCAAAGAAGCAAACATCTCTCTAGATTTCTCATCTTTTCCATTCTTACATATAGCTGATGAAAAGATTTAATGTCATCACTATCGGTTTCCAGTCTCATTCCTCACTTCTAATACCCCCATCATTCTGAATATTTTTTTAAAGATTCATTTATTGATTTGAGAGACAGAGTTACAGACAGACAGAAAGAGAGCACCAATATAGAAAGAAAGAAAGAAAGAAAGAAAGAAAGAAAGAAAGAAAGAAAGAAAGAAAGAAAGAAAGAAAGAAAGAAGGAGGTCTTCCATCTGTTGGCTCAATCCCCAAATGGCCGAAATAGCCAGGGCTGAGCCAGGTGTTAGCTAAGAGCATCTTCGGGCCTCCCACGTGTGAGCAGGGGCCCAAACACTTGGGTCATCCTCTACTGTTTTCTCAGGCCATCAGCAGGAAGCTGGATTGAAAGAGGAGCAGCCAGGACTAAAACCAGTGATCATATGGGATACCAGCACCGCAGGCAGAGGCTTAGTCCATTATGCCACAGCGCTGGCCCATCCTGAACTTTAAAGCTTATAATTTCTAAGGAAGCCAAGGACCCTTTAGTTTAGAAAGAAAGAGAAAGCTTATTTTGTGTTTTCAAACACTTTATGCACACACAACCATACATACACCCACATGTATGCAGAGGCAGAGGCAGACCATGTAACAATTTCAAAAATAAACTGACACTGAAAAGAAATGTTTTGGCATTGTGCAAGATGATAACTGATCTTTGGGATCTATCAGGCACTTACCAGAATATACACTTTAACCACAGAAAAGCATTTTAATTTAACAAGCTCCTAAACCCACTAAATGCCAATTACTCTTCTATGCATTATAGAATATAACCTAATTTAATCTTTGTAATCATTTAAATGAAGTAATTCCCATGAATTTCTGCACATCAGCGATTGAGAGAAATGAGTGCAGTTGCTCAGGACCACACAGCCGTTAACTGCAACGCTAGAACTCGAACTCAGATGCTTTGACTCCAAAGTCAGGGCTCTTAATCACCCCACTCTGGGAATCTTGGCCACAGATCCACTGGCAAAGGCACAGTGTTCGTATAGAAGCTTCGTCCTCCAACTGACAAAATAGCATATGGGTGTCTGATAGCCTGGCTCCAGTTAAGCACTGATCCCAACCAGGTGCCCAGGGATTATCATCCCACGTCCCTAAGTTCCAGTAAGCCTACCCCATCCCCTCACACTCAGAGCAAGTTGTTCCCAACGTGATCTTTTGTTCTTGCCTCTTTTGTCAGAAAAAAAAAAATCCCTTTTCTCTATTGCCTATGAATCTCTATTTATGTTCCCTGAAGCCCTTCCTGACCACTTCCCTGGACACTGGCCCCACACCGGTGTGTGGAAGATACTCCACCTTCATGCCCCAGGGTAGCCTCTGCATGTGTCTATCAGGATGGCATTATCTATCAGGATGGTGTTAACACCTCCCATCTACTGCGTGCCTTAGCCATCTTCAGAACCTGAGTACACAGCTGACATTCCAATACCAGTGATGTGATGACGGCACAGAACCTGGAGACGTCCGGGTGGTGGCAGGTAAGACCTAACCAACTGGCAACCCTACAACAGGGAGAGTGGGTGGATCAAGCCGCCCCAAAAGGGCTTTTATTTTAATAGCTTCACTAATTAGAGAAAATAGATAATCCTCATGCTAATCCACAAGCTGCTGAAATGGACAGCACACTAAAAGAGATTAAGAAAATGAGCACTACACACTCCAATTGTAAGTGCATACACCGCAACCAAGACCCAAACAGGACAAACATAGCCCCAAATTTTTAGCAATGCTGAAAGTTAAGTCTGAACAAATCTTCACAGAATAATTCATTCAAGGTATATGAAGACTCAACCATGTACGCCAGGTACAGTAGTGGAGGAAGGGCGCGAAGATGAGTGAGATACAAGATGGGGTCTGAACAGCCTCCTGGGGATGACAGATGCACAGACCACCGCCACTGTGCTGTGACAGCAACACAAACTGTGGGTACTGAAAGCAAAGGTGGAGGATATCACAACAAACAGCACTGGAACTGATTCTGCCATTACAAGAAGAAAAACAAGGAGGAGGGAACAAATCATAGAAAACTGGCCACTCTGAAAACAGAATTCATGACCTGTGAAATGTTAAAAGAAAGATGAGTTGATCAGCATTCAGTTGACACAGACGTTGGAGTGCTATTTCAAACCCCTTCTATTCTTAGAGAGAAAACTGAGACCAAGCAAGCAGATATAATATAGGTTCAGAAGAAGAAAATCTCAAAACTAATGAAAGAGGATAATACATGAGAATGTGAACCTGCCAACTCAATATGATAAAAGTAATGGTGGTGAAAGGACAACATAATTCATTGAAATCATGAGCTACGTTGGCATTTTATGAATAATGCTTTAATGTACTCAACAAAATATACACCTGTAGCTACAGGTGGGAAGGCTCTAAGAGTGAGGCACCTTGACCAGTCACACAGTCTACCCATAGATGACTCTCTGGGAATATCTTGACAGCTCAAGCCACAGAGTCTCTTCCTTTAGACCAGTGGGCATGTACCTAACATCTGCATGGTAAGTCTTGCAAAAGCCACTTAAGGTGATTGTTAATGAAGTCATATTACAGGGACCAGTGCTACAGTGTAGCAGGTAAAGCTGCCATACGCAACACCGGCATTGCATATAGGCACTATTTAGAGTCCTGGCTGCTCCACTTCCAATCCAGCTCCCGGGTAATGTGCCCGGGGAAAGTAGAGGAAGATGACCCAAGTGTTTGGACTCCTGCACCCATGTGGGAGACCTGGAAGAAGCTCCTGGCTCCTCACTTAGGAACAGCCTAGCTCTGGCCATTTGGAGAGTGAAGCATTGGATGGAAGATCTGTCTCTCTCTCTCTTTCTAATGCTGCCTTTCAAATAAGTAAATAAATATTTTTTAAAAACTATATTATAACAAGTTAGGGTTGATGTTCTGTGAAAAAGCAGAGGGTGCCACAAGAACAGGAAGAACCATCACATGGCAAGCCAATACACAGAAACATCAGTGCTGCTATAATCATCAATGGTATCTCACCTACTGAAAAGGGACCAACTCTAACTGAAGGTTTGCTCTAATTTAAGAATTCTTCCAAGTACCTTTATGTGGGGAGCAGGGCCCGGCCCCCACAATATGGCGCTGAGAGGGAGTAAACAACTTCCACACAGCTGCCTCACCAATTCGACTAACAAGCTGCAGGAGCTAATCTGCCCCTGATTGGAGGAGAGCAGCGTGCTCAGCGCGTGGGGAGAGAAAGCCAGCAGAGTTGGGATTGGTGGAAGAGGACTATAAAGGAGGAGAGAGACAACATGCAGGAGGAACATCTGAGGAACCCCTGAGAGAGCCAGCCAGCGGTGTGCCGCTCCTCCGCAGAAGCGGGGAAAGCGGTGGAGGTGCCGCCCCTCTGCGGAGGCAGGGTCGGGGGAGTGGCAGCAAACTCGGGAAGGGCCGGGCAAAGAGAACAGCGCAGGGTCCGGTGTCGTTCCTCCGCGAGTGGGGGAGCGACACCTTTACATATATTACTTAATCCTTTCCATCTATTGTCCTTTACTTTTCCTTTCCTTTTAAACAAATGAGAGGGGCCAGCACTGTGGCACAGTGGGTTAACGCTCTGGCCTGAAGTGCTGGCATCCCATATGGGCACCAG